CCTAAAGAACTGAAGGCCGCGCATGAGGAACCCTCTTTCCCGCCTACGTTGTGGCTCGACTTCTGGGTACCGAGGCTCCCATGAGTTCTCGTTGGGGGCCTATTGGCGGATATTATCACAAACCTGTGAATCAAAATAAGGGATCCTTTAGCGGACATCGTTTAGATGGGCGAGTCCAGAATTGACAGCTCAAACAAAAGGCAAATGTGACACGAAGAGATTTAGGAGCGCAGTCCGAATGGTCATCCTAAGTGCTTTTGTGAGATATTGGCGGGTGTCGTTTTTTGAAGCTTGCTACCCGTTTCAAGTTGGATTTAGAAGGGACCACAAGGAAAACCACCATTTTGGAACCCGTTTATTGAGACATATGAACGATTCGAAACAAACTGCAACCAGTAATTAAGGTCAGTTTAGAGAAACAAAACAACAACAGGATACCTACCCCAAATCATCCGAAATTCATCGGCCGTTCCGCAAAAATTGGGCTGGGACAATCCTGTCTTACAGGCGTCTCTTCTCGAGCTCCTCCGCAATTAGTACGATTCAAAGACCCTCAAGAGCTGGCAGATCCCGGCCCTCTCCCACCCTCGTAGGCAATTTTTTTGTTGGACTGTGGTGCTTCTTGCGAGTTAGGTTTTCTTTTCCCAACCAGCTGAGGCACGTGCGGCACTTGCCAGTGCTGCAGGTCCTTCAGCAAGCTACAGGCCTGGGGTGTGCGTCCAGATGAGCCACGAACAGAAACCTGCCTCCACGTTCTGCTAATGCTCTCCTTTGGTGCAATAGATGGGCTTGCCTCTTGACCCTCAACTTCTTGAGAAAAGGCACTCAAATGACCAGGGACCCTCAAATGCGCTTTGGTGCCATAGCACACAGTCTCGACCCTCCTCTACATCGATGGGAAACGCTTGGCCCCTATACAGTGCTTGTACTCTCTTCCCTTTGTTTGGTGGTAAGGGGTCGAACAATTGGAATGGGGTTGTGGGGTACTTTAAGCCAAATTAGTCACGATCACAAGAGAATGTTGTGTAATTGTCTAGCCCTTTATTATGCTGGGTGCTGCATGAAGAGGTCTGGATAAATTGCAAATGACCATCACCTTTTGGCTTCCCTTCGGGTAACTCGAGGCTGGCGCCCACTGCCACGGCCTGAAATCCCTGCAGAAGGCCTCGAAATGCGAGCGGCGTCCACGGCTCATGTTGGGCTTCCACTGAGGGATGGTGGCACTTCAGCTAGAGGGGGCAGTTTAATCATAAATGTCAACATTGGGTTCATGCGGCGGATCATAAACAAGAGGACTTAGTTTGCGGCTAAGTGGATTTAATTCGTTTCCGTTGGTGCCTTTGGCTTCGGATTGATTGACGTGATGCGGCTGTGTTCCCTGTACGGGCTTTGCGAAGTTCATGACTGCTTGTGTGAGCAGACCGTGGCCTTGAAAACCGGAGAGTGGCTGATGTGTCAAAAGCAAAGCCCTACCTCCCTCCCTCCCTCTCCCTCCCTCCCTCCCTCCCTCGATCCCTCCATCCCTCCCTCCCTGCCTCCCTCCCTACCTCCAACCTCCATCCTCCCTCCCGACCTACCAATGGCTCGCTTTCCCAACCTCCATCCTCCCTCCCTCCATCCCCAACCCTCCCTCCCTCCCTCCCTCCATTTCTTCATCCATCCATCCATCCCCTCCTCCATTCCCTACCTCCCTCCCTCCACACAAGCACCCGCCCACCCACCACCCACCCACCCACCCATCCATCCATTCGTCCATCCATCCATACATCCATCCTTGGTTCCTCCATCATTGGTCCCTCCCTCTTCCACTCATCCTCCTTCCACTCCTTCTCCTTCCACTCCTTCTCCTTCCAATCCTTTTTCTTCCAGTCCTTCTTCCAGTCCTTCTTCCACTCCTCCTTCTTCCAATCCTCCTCCTCCTTTCAATCCTTTTCTCCAATCCTCCTTCCACTCCTCCTCGGGTTTGGGCGGGCCTTGGCTGCTGGGATCTTTCCCTGCCAAGTCTTGCCCAGGGTGCCATGCGCGGGCGGCGCATCTAGTGGCCTTTTCAGGCCCCTGCCTCCAGCGCCTCCTTGGCTGACGCGCTCATCTCCTCCAGCGGCTTCATCTCCTCCGGCGGCTTCATCTCCTCCGGCGGCTTGATCCTCTCCGGCTCTTCCACCTCCTCCTTCTGCGGCACGTTCTTGCTCAACACCAAGCTCGAACGCGCCGCTCAAGGGCAAGTCTATCTGGCGCCGATGTGCCAAGTCTTGGGCGTCTTCCTCATCTGCTGGAGAGGTGTGATCGAGCGCCGGATCCTCCGCCATGACCGACGCGTCGGTCATGTCCAACTCGACGGACATGGCTGCCATGGGCAGCCAGCCAACAGATGGCATGTGGGGTTTGCACAGCTATGCCAGCATCTGAGTCGCTGGTCAAACAACTGGTGATGACGTGTAGGGTTATGCCAGCATTTCAGTTTCTCGCCAAACACAGTGGTGATGACATGTTGGTGGGGGTGACATGTAGTGCTCGCACATCAAACATCGCCATGCACATTTGGCGCTGTGTGAGCCAAGGCGCGCAGTAGATGGCAGATGCACGAATCAGGCGCTGACTATCAGAAATGGCCACACAAAAGCTGACGCGAGCATGGAAACAAACTGCCCACCCACCCACCCACCCATCCATCCATCCATCCATGCATACATCCATCCATCCATCCATCCATCCATCCATCCCTGGCTTCCATTCCTCCTTCCATCCATCCACCTCCTCCTCCCTCCCTCCCTCCACCCATCCATACATCCATCCATCCCTGGTTCCTCCATCATCCATCCCTCCCTCTTCCACTCATCCTCCTTCCAATCCTTCTTCCACTCCTCCTCCTTCTTCCACCCATCCTTCATCCAATCCTTCTTCCACTCCTTCTCCTTCCACTCCTTCTCCTTCCAATCCTTTTTCTTCCAGTCCTTCTTCCAGTCCTTCTTCCACTCCTCCTTCTTCCAATCCTCCTCCTCCTTTCAATCCTTCTTTCTCCAATCCTCCTTCCACTCCTCCTCGGGTTTGGGCGGGCCTTGGCTGCTGGGATCTTTCCCTGCCAAGTCTTGCCCAGGGTGCCATGCGCGGGCGGCGCATCTAGTGGCCTTTTCAGGCCCCTGCCTCCGGCGCCTCCTTGGCTGACGCGCCACGGCGCGGGCCATGGTTTCCTCCATCTCCTCCAGCGACTTCATCTCCTCCGGCGGCTTCATCTCCTCCGGCGGCTTGATCCTCTCCGGCTCTTCCACCTCCTCCTTCTGCGGCACGTTCTTGCTCAACACCAAGCTCGAACGCGCCGCCCAAGGGCAAGTCCACCTGGTGCCAATGCGCCAAGTCTTGGGCGTCTGCCTCATCTGCTGGAGAGTTGTGATCCAGCGCCGGATCCTCCGCCATGACCGACGCGTCGGTCATGTCCGACTCGACGGACATGGCTGCCATGGGTGCAGCCAGCCAACAGTCACGTGATGATGTTGTGGTGATGGCATGTGGGGTTTGCACAGCAATGCTGACTGGTGATGACGTGCAGGGTTATGCCAGCATTTCGGTGGGGATGACATGTAGTGCTCGCACATCAAACATCGCCATGCACATTTGGCGCTGTGTGAGCCAAGGCATGCAGTAGGTGGCAGAGGCACGAATCAGGCGCTGACTCCCTCCCTCCCTCCCTCCCTCCCTACCTCCACCCAAGCACCCACCCACCCACCCACCCACCCATCCATCCATCCATCCATCCCTCCCTCCCTGCCTCCCTCCCTCCCTCCCTCGATCCCTCCATCCCTCCCTCCCTCCCTCCCTACCTCCCTCCCTACCTCCCGCCCTCCCTCCCTCCCTACCTCCACCCAAGCACCCACCCAAGCACCCACCCACCCACCCACCCACCCACCCACCCACCCACCCACCCACCCACCCACCCACCCACCCACCCACCCACCCACCCACCCACCCACCCACCACCCCCCCACCCCACCCACCCCCACCCCCCACCCACCCACCCACCCACCCACCACCCACCCACCCACCCACCCCTTCCATCCATCCATCCATCCATCCATCCATCCATCCATCCATCCATCCATCCATCCATCCATCCATCCATCCATCCATCCATCCATCCATCCATCCATCCATCCATCCATCCATCCATCCATCCATCCATCCATCCATCCATCCATCCATCCATCCCTGACTCCTCCATCCATCCATCCATCCCTCCCTCCCTACCTCCATCCATCCATCCACCCACCCACCCACCCATCCATCCCTCCCTCCCTCCCTCCCTCCCTCGATCCCTCCATGCCTCCCTCGATCCCTCCATGCCTCCCTCCCTCCATTCTCCCTCCCGACCTACCATCATCCATCTCCCCCTCCCTCAATCCCTTCATCCCGCCCTCCCTCCCTCCCTCCCTCCCTCCCTCCCTCCCTCCCTCCCTCCCTACCTGCACCCAAGCACCCACCCACCCACCCACCCACCCACCTACCCACCCACCGATGGATGGAGGGAGGGATGGATGGAGGGATCGAGGAGGGAGGGATGGATGGAGGGATCGAGGGTGGGTGTGGGTGGGTGGGTGGGTGGGTGGGTGGGTGGGTGGGTGGGTGGGTGGATGGATGGATGGAATGGAGGTAGGGAGGGAGGGAGGGATGGATGGAGGGATCGAGGGAGGGAGGGATGGATGCATCCACCCACCCACCCACCCACCCACCCATCCATCCATCCATCCATCCATCCATCCATCCATCCGTCATCCATCCATTACCCAAATTGCCACCCCGCTCTTTTGCGCTATCCCAACAAATGCACGGCATTTTATAAGCGGAGCATTTTGGGCTTACCACCGGGTAAGGGGAAAATTGGAGAACCCTCAAAAGGTTCAGCCACAAGTCCGGCCCACAAAGATCACAAGGTCCCTTTAGTGGGGTGGCTGAATCCCCAGGTGAGTCACAATCAAAACCCGGTATCAAAATGGTCTCCGCAGCTCTTTTTGGTTGGGTCTCCTTTACTAACCTTCATCTACCCGGGTTTTGGTTGTGGCTCAGGTGGCCCCCGAAAATGTTTGCCCATCGATCAACAACTGTGACGTCACAGTAGCTCTGCAATCAACAAACCATTGTGCCACAGTACTTATCTCTGCAACTGGAAATGCCGCATACTCTAAAATGCAACCGCACACTCAAGCTACCCTTACAAGTTGGACATTTCAACCCGAATTTATGGAGTGAGCTCCATTTCTTTCTTGCAAGGAACAGCTTGCTGACCTTTGCAAGCAGATACACTCTGTTGCACAAACAACCCAGAACTATCAGGTTAACCTTCTGGAACCCTGACAAAATAGTTGAATACGGAGGTTCTCCGCAGCAGGGAATGAGAAGTGGAATAACCCCCCAGAAACCATCCAACCTGTCCCTTGTGGTTTCCTGAAACGGACAAATCCCGGACTCGGTCAATCCCGATCGCACCAGTACCTTTCTTAGGCGCCCGGCAGAGATGGCCGCCGCGGTGACCGAGTCTTTGATCTCTGAAGCCTGATGTCCAGCCCCAAACTGGGGGTCCTTGAGGGACACCCGAAATAGACGTCACTCGTATTTTGGGGCAGCTTAGGGCAATATCCCGTTTTTCAGGGAAGTTGAGAGTCCATGTGCATTTGAGATACAGCTTCTAGCTTTTAGCCTCTACAAAGGGATGGATTGTTCGACATCCCTTAAAGGATATCAGCTGTGCCAAACAAATAAATGCCAACTAGCCGATTCTCTCATAAAGCATGTGATTTTTGGTGTGAAAGCAACAGGGTGGTCGCGTTGCGGCCAAAAAAGGACCGGTCCTCAAACCCCAAAAAGGGGACATGGATCCTCAAACCGGCAGTCAACGTAGTTCGAGGGTCCAAGGAAGTTGGAACCCAAGAATTGAAAGGGTTCTTGGATGTGTTCTTGGATGCTTTACGGGGGCCGAATCAAACAGATGAAAGGGTTGAAGTCAAAATGCGTAAGAGGCCCCAAAGAGGACAACACCCAAATGAGACATCACTGTTTGCCTTTTGGTTCCCTTCAAACTCAAAATGCATATCAAGCCCAACAAAGACTGTTGCCCCACTGGGGGGAGGTCGCGCAGCTTTGTGAGAAGCCGCGACTAGAGCTAGAACCATGCAAGCACATATAATCGTTCCAATGCGCACGAGGTCAAGAAGAACAACCAGCCCCCTACTCCAAAATGTTCACCTTGTCAAGGGTATGGTGTCAACCACTAACTCAAAAGGAGGTGTTTAGCTCAAGCTTGTCCCTTAAACAAGAGCGGGTATCTGACGTAGGCCACACTGATCTGGCCCTTAAATTTTCAAATGCCCCGTAAAGCGCTCCCCCTAAGCGACTCCGACAAGGTGCCTCAGACCTCCAGTGGCAAAGGTCTTAGAAGGACATTCATTTTTGATTTACTCACTTGCCCAAGGGCCCAGAAATAGAAGGTTAACCTTTTGGGGCCATGACTAAAACTAGACCAAAAATGCAAAAACAAAAGGTCAAAAGGTCGGCTTTGGGCAACTGAGTTTAGGGGAACTCACAAACAAAAACTAGGACATCGTTTCTTAAGCCGACTTTGAAAAGGAACCCCCAACAGGTTGGCTGATGTTTCGAGTTCGAAACACACCCAAAGAAGTCGTAACTAGGAGCACTCGAGCTCTGAGGTACCACAGACGCCGAGATCGCCTCTGTGCGAGCGAGATGCAGGAAGTAGAGGCTGCTTTTCCAGTCGTGCCGAGCCTCAAATACCGAGCCAGGTTCCCATGCGGGTGTGAATTTAATAAGGAGCCCTTTGACTGGCATCACTTTAGGTGGGGATTCATTTCAGCTGTGTGCATACTTCTGTATAGGTGAGTCAGCCGCCACCCCATGTCCCAAACGAATCCAGTCATCAGGTTTATTTGGCTGATCCATCCTCAGGATCAAGATCTGAACACCCCAATCGGTACATGTTAATCGGTCCATGTCGGTACTCCTGAACCAATGATATTGGTAAGTTGTTTCCTGGTAAGTTGATGATGCAAGTGGATGGCAGGACACTTAATGTTACCATAGGATCACTAAGTATCACCGACTACTACTGCGTGTTTCGGGATCCAATACTAAACAGTTGGAACTCTGACGCGGGGCTTCGGGACAACCCCTAAATAGTACGGCGCGCTATGTCACGCAAAAGGCAACAACACTAACTTCAATTCCAGCAAAAAAACAACTTTATCTGATATCCGGGTGTGCCCAGAAATTATTTCCCTTCCAGCACGTCAGAATCTCTGCCTGTGGCCAGGTTGCTTCAAACATAAGGATTTCATCCCGCTAGCTTCAGATTAAAGTGGCTCTCCAAAACATTTGCCCTTTATATACACCGGCGCGATGCGCAAACATTAAAGCATACGCTCCTTTCTCGTATATTTGCCTTACATAACCCACTACAGGGTTGATGCTTTTCGTGCCTGGCAAACAACACGACTTCTGGGTAATGCACAGTGAACGCTGCTTGAAACTATGTCCTGCCCTTAGCTAGCGGCTAGCGCAAAAGAGCACGCGTTTCGTGCCCAGCATTGCCCTAGGTCAGATTGTACGCTTGCAAGTGGCCAACAGGCGATGTCTCAGCCGGCCAACAAAGGTTGTATAAGGCTAATCGAAGTGCTCTCGACCCTCCACACAAACCAAATCCCTGGCTGAGTGGCTCTGCGATAGGAAACCGGAAGACGTCCGGCCATTTAACTTTCGAAGATAATCACAAATTTGGGGGGGGCAAAAACAAACAGTTAATGACAATGCTCACAGAGAGACAGCACGTGGCAGGTAAAAACCTGCCTCTCCTCCCCGCCCCGATACGCGACATATGGAGAAACCCGAAATGAGCACCCCAACAAAAAACCAGTCATGCTTCGAGGACAAGCCCAATGCCAAGATTTTGCCAGGAAAAGAAGCTCCATCCAACTACCTGGACCCCCAAACTATCATCGACAAGGGAAATCACAGGTCCCCCCAGCCAGCCCGGATTCGCTGCGGGCTTCCGTTTGGAGAGCCATGAGTTTGGGGCAATTGCAGGTTCCCAAAACACCAAATGAGAAACGCTCGAATGAGAAAAAGCTGACTCTGTCACATGCCAAAGCTTGAAAAAACCCTAAATGCCAAATGGCACCAAAACAAGGTCACACACCCTCCATCATCCTCCATCCCACTCTTTGCAGAAATGGGTACTGTCAGTGCACGACGGGTAACCCCATTAAAGGTTTCCCCTTTTGCCTCCCGAATTCCCACCAGAGGGCCGACAGAGTTGGCCCAGCAAAGCCCTACCCCACATAATTAATCAGGCCGCCTTTGGACTGAAAACACAAAACTGATCTTGGGATTTAAAGTCTCATGGCCCACAAAGGGCCAGGAAGACAAGGACCGAAGAGGTTCTCCAGGTTCCTGTTTCCGATTCAATTGGCTGAGAAGAGGTAGTATAAGGACGAGGAGCGAAGGGGCTGCAGATTAGCAGGGGGTCTTGCACAAAATGCAAGTTTTGGGGGCTTGTTCAAACCTTGTCGACCTTGAAGGGTAGGGGGTCGGGGGGGGGCACGCCTTTACTGAGCAGGGGTAACGATAACGAGTTTCAATTGCACTTTGGTGGGCATTTTATATATTTCGTTTCAGGGCCATATTTGGATGATTCTTCCTGCTGCAGAGAACACAACATCTGCTGTTCAACCACAAAGTGGCCCCAAAGTCCAATCGAGGTCCCCTTTGGAGGACTTCGGTTTGCGCTGGGTGCCAGGCGCAAGATCTCAGAACTTTGCTGAACTCTTTTGCGCCCAGCGCAAGGCGTGCTCTCCTCCGAAAGGCCGAAAGGTGCCGGCGGTGTCGGCCCCCTTTCTTCTTCGGCGCTCTTACTCTTGCCTGTTCTTTGTGCTTCATTCTTGTTTGTGTGTGTGTGTGTGGCCCTGTGTGTGTCCTTGTGCTTGTGTGTGTGAAGTTTGCTCAGTCGTTTGGTTGATTGATTGATTGGTTGGTTGGTTGGTTGATTGATTGATTGATTGATTGATTGATTGATTGATTGGTTGGTTGGTTGGTTGATTGCTTGCTTGATTGCTTGCTTGCTTGTTTGGTTGCGTGCGTGATTGTTTGTTTGTTTGTTTGTTTGCTTGATTGTTTGGTTGTTTGTTTCTTTCTTGGTTTGTTCGTTCGAATGATTGTTCGTTCGTTCGTTTGTTTGGTTGTTTGTTTATTTGTTTGGTTGGTTGTTTGCTTGCTTGCGTTGCTTGCTTGCTTACTTGTTTGCTTGATTGCTTGCTTGCTTGATTGATTGATCGCTTGTTGCTTCGGCTGTTTTTGTTTTGTAAGTTTCTTTCTTCAGTTGTTTGTTTGTGTGCGCGTGCGTGTGCGATTGAGGGTTTGTTTGGTTGCTTGCTTGCTTGCTTTCTTGCTTGCTTGCGTGCTTGTGTGTGTGCTGTTGATCGAAGAGACACCCACACTGCCGCAACAGTGGGCCCTTTTGTGAACGGATAGCTTGAAGGTCCAGGAACCCCATAATTCCAAGACGGGCGATCAACCGGAGCCTACTAAAACCATTTACCTGAATGGAGGAGCTTTGGAACCAAACGAGAGGGTGGAATGTCGCCATCTTGGCGGTGTCCGATATCATTTTCGCAAATCAAACTAGTGGAAATTATCATGTCATAGGTTATAATGGTTGTGTCTAAAAATATGGATTTCGGGTTTCCCTCTGGCTGGTACAACCCTAAGCATCATTGGATTGACCCTCCACAACGACGAAACTCGGTTGCTTTCTGCTCTCTTAGGTTGATAAAAGTTTAACTTTCTGTGGTTTAATACGGAAACCCCATTAGTTGGCAAAAAGTTAAGGTCCTAACATCCCAAGCAAACTGCACCAAAGGAAATGCCCACGTCGCTCCGATTCGCATCGAAGGTCCTGACCACCCGCAGAAAGCTCAAGGAGCTTCGCCAGGGGCTGCCGCCCTGGTGCAGCGACGCAAACCTCAGATCTGGTCGCAAGAAGCCCGGGACCAGGGGATGGTTCCCCTTTCGGGAAACCCGCAGAAAACAAACCATCTTTAAAAGGGGGTCAGACCCCCTCACATGTTTCTTCCGTTTCGAGAAAATCACCCTTTCCGCACGACCAAAGTGCTTCCCATTCCTGCAACTACTTACTACTTGTGACTTTTCAGAGCGGTGCGGTTCGAGTCCTTGGTATCAAAAAAAGTGGGATTCCCTCAAACCCAAGCGTGGGTAAGCATATTGCTCGTTTGGGGGGAGAGGGTCGATGTGAGTCTCTAAACTTCTGCACCCCCACTGGCTTTGGAGCCTGTGGGGTCGGAAGGAAGCTGAGGATCTCATCCACAGATCCAAGCAGATCGAAGCCTGTGTCGGTCCATTCTCGTCGAGGATGGTCAGCCCAAGGCGGCAACCACTTCTGTCGCGAAGGGCAGGCGGCCGCGTTCGTAAAGACGGCTTGGGGCGTCAGCCGTCTGGAGGTACGTTTCTGGAGGGGCCCGATTTCCCCAGTGTTTGGTTGACTCCAACACATCCAAAAGGAGGCCCTTGTGATTGAAGCCACGCGGTACCAACTACCAAGATCAGAAAATGTAGTTGCTGCTATTGCGATTTGGAAGCCCCAAGAAAAACCCGATCTTGGTGGTGCCGCGTGCCTGATTGAACAAAGGCAAATCGACTTGAAGTCGTGTCCCCAAGGTTAGGCAAACCCATTTTACACCCCAGCAACGCATGTGCTTCATTCTGTCCAAGGCCCCACACGCGCCACCAATGGCAGCCCCACAGATTTCACCTCCTCGGCATCTCCTGGCAATGGCGAGGATCCAGACTTATCGGACCCCGAAAAAAAAATCCAAGTGGTTCACGTTGGTCTTCCTCTAAATTTCCACCCAAAACAAGTCCTTACCCTATTTCTGAAAATACCTACGAGGTCCATCTGCCTGCCGTGTATCAAAACTAGTTCGACCCTTTGTTTCGGGACACTTTGAAGTTGACCTAAAACCGGCCATTTCAAGGGATCCCCAGTATTGACACATACCCTTGTGTCTGCATGTTAGGTCGTTACACCCACTGAGCTGCATGCCAAAATCAGAGGCCCCCTTCAACGCCTGTGTCCTTTTTGTTTTCTTGTGTTTTCTTTTGTTTGCCATGAAAAGAATGAACAACATGAACAAGATCCCCCGTTCCAATTGCCAAACATGTGGCTCCTTTTGGACCCTGCCGTGTGATGCTCAGAAAGACTCCACACATTAGAGGAAGCAGCAACAAGGGGTCCCTAATCCTGACACCCCCGATTTTTCCCATTCCTGTTTGTGGTGTCGGGTTGCACCGTCCTGGGTTTAAGATGATTTCCGTCCACAAGTAGTGAAACCCAACTAGGAGGTTCTTCCCTCAAAAGCCGATTCCGCTCCTTTTTCGACTCTGTCCCTTCTGTTCATCCGCGAATGTCTGGGCTGAACTTCGACAGGGCGCTGAAAATATGCCCTGAGCTTGACATGGCCAAGGTGATGTTTGATTTGTCAAAGCAAGGGACACCCCCCGACTGGCATGGAACTAACAAGTATAGTTGATTTCCATGGACGCCTTTCCCTGTCCATGTGGATGGGAGGGAAAGTTTAAGGACCTGCGTAGGGTGTATGTCAAAATAGGGGTACCTCCATCATGGGTGGGTCTTCCTTTAATTTGTTTTCAACCCAAAAACCCAGGCTCAAAAGGGTACCACGCTTCAAAGAAACACACACAGCATAAGTAAGTTCCAGGTTTCTCAAACTTACTTTTGCGGCTCCCTGTAACCACCACCTGGCTCGGGTAGTTTTCAGGATGTCCTAACATGGACCCCGGCCGAAAGCATGGCGGCAGAGCAGCGAGCTCAGCCCGGACAAGGCCTGGCCAAAACGCGCGCTGGCGGGAAGCCAGCGAGTCACACTTCCGACCCCAAGCCCCTAAACATTGTGCGCACTTTTTGGTCTCGGACGGGAGTGAAATGCATTCTGGCTGCGAAGCTGGTGGTTGAACGGAAGGAATCAGAGCCCCTGGCTGTAAGGGGAACCAACCCCCTGTTTTTGAGCAACGGGGACCGGCTGGGAGGGTTTCACGCTCTTTGGCACCTAACAATGGATCACAGTAATATGCGTGGGACCTCAAATGGACCCTTTGGCCTCCTGATTCGCCAGACTTATCCACCAATAGGTGGTCCGCCCTCCATTTTCTTTCAACGAAACAGTTGGGATGTTGAGCAGATCCCCGTGCAGAAGTGGCAATCCACTCTTGGGATGACGTGCCTAGGGGGCAAGCGCAAAGTCCACGGACGCATGCCGCGCAGCCCAGCCTGACTCCATTCCCGGGCAAGGGCGCAGGTGCCTGGAGGTACAAGCGCTTTTCCGGAGACTGGCGGGTGGACAACTCGTCTTTTCTTGGTTCCCCCCCCCACAAGGGGTGGGTTTTCCGGTTGGTTTAGCTTTGAAAGCACGACAAACAGGCACCAACTCAAAGACAGATAGGACCATATGGGCGCTTTTGCTTTTTTGAGGTTGCCGCAAGACAGGGGGTTGCTTGACAGGGAAAACACTGAGAAATAAGATAATTACTCATGTATGCTCACGTCCTTTTGGACGTCACACCCATGCTTGTTTCTTTCGCACCGAACGCCAAGTTCAGCAACCCCAATTTCCCAGTTGCTCAGCGACCCTGGTAGAAAAGGGATATATTTTTAGGCTGACTATTTTCAGTGGGGAAACCATCAACCAAAAAGGGCAAAAAGTGTGCCACTGAACAACTGGGGATAGGTCGCCTTTTCTGAGAGCCCCATATAGTGAGTATCGGTCAGTTGGCATACCCAATCAATAGGTACAGGTTGCACACACATGGGTGTTGTTGTTGGTTTTTCTTCCGGGGCCCTTTTTAGTGTTGTGTTGTTTTTTGCAGAGAAACAAAAGGGAAAACCGAGATCCTGGTGATCCTCTATGTTGAGACATAACCATATATGGAGATCGCGATTGTTGCAAGTTGCTGGTGAGGAATTAGACGCTGGGCAGCACCTTTTCTTTGCGTTTTCGAGACACGCCCATTTTCCGAGTCTGTTCTGTGTTCAAACAATTTTCCGACTCTGTTCCGTGTTCAAACAATTGTCTGACTCTGGTGGTGTTTTGGTGGTGTCCCAGTCTGTTTTGGTGATGTCCACAAAATCTCGAATAGGAGGAGAGCCCGGACCCATAGAAACAACCGTTACTTGGACAACCGAAGAACAAACACAACCTCCGCCTCGCCTGCGGCTGCACGCCAAATCTCCACATGCCTCCCAAGCCTGCTGCTCGAATCGGGGCAGGGATCGGGAAAGGAAATGGCGAGGCACACTGTTGGCTCGGAATACCGTGCGAAACTAGATGGCGCAATCCCTTTTTTGCGGGTAAGTCAAGATTCAAAGGTATCACCACCTTCATGGTTTTCACATGGGCAACATCCCCTTGAACAGGGCAGTTTGAGGAGCTGGGAAGGTCCCAACAGTATGGGCTCATGATTGCAGTGGACACCACACTCATATTAGGATTTCATGAGCCTAAGTCGCACACCCGACCGACTTCCACCACATCGTCAGGGCTCGCGGGTGGTGGTCAGAGGGTCCCCCGTACAGGTCCCAACAGCCCAACAGCGCCTCTGGCTGAATCTGAAAGCCCCTAAGCCCAGTGGCCTGCTAGAGCACGTTTCGTGTTCCGCAGACACCGACATAGACACCCTACACACGTTCCACTCACACCTCACAAACAAGGGGTGGGGAGCCGGGGAGTCGAGCACTGGAGGGTCACCACGCAAGCTGCCACAGTTGATGTGTCCCACAAGTTGTGCAACACAGCATTTTTACGCACCAAAGAGGAATTGCAAAGGAGAGGCGACAAGCTGGCTTCAATGGAGCCAGGCCAAGCACACACCGAGAGTGATTCTCAAAAGGGTTTTCTGAAGGTCCTGAAATGGTTGGTGTCCTTTTGACTTCCCTTCACCAAAAGGTCCCTAACCCTCGAGAAACTCCCAGTCCTCCAACATCTTCCAGCCGCCAGCCGCACTGCGGGTTCCCAGCTCAAGCCTTCCAGCTCCAACCTCCGACCTGTTTGATCTCCATTCTACTTGTTTGTTCTTTGGCTAGCCCAAATAACAGGTTGGGGCTCGCACAAGCAGTCAAGCCAACCATTGAGGGGATTTGAGAAACACCCAAATGGGTTGTACACGCGGCACTCAAAAAGACTCACCCATCCGAGATTCTGCTCAAATTGCTCGACTTCACAAACCCGAAATGCGGCTCTTGAGCTCGTTTTGGCCCATCTCTTGTGCGAGAAACCACAGCAGCAGCCGTCAACCAGCGGTGCCCAGGGGTTTGCTACATGGGTCCCTGCAACTGACGTCCCTCCTCCGCCAGCCCAACCCAAGACTCTTTCTCTTCTCAAAAAGAGGAACTAAACATCATGTTTAGTGGGTCAAAATCCCGTACCCTCAGTGAACATCCCAATCCCCACTAAAATAGACCAAAATGGGTGGTGCACCTACCCCAAATGGTACATCATGGTTGGTTTCCTTTCAAACCGTAAAAAGGGGCAAAATCCCAACCGTTCCCCTTTTCGGGCCCCCTTGATTTCCGGCTGGGTGTTGCGGCTGCTTGTTTCTGGTTGCTTTCGGCCCCCTTTTTGGTGCTTTGTTGGGCTTCTTTTCATCCGGAGCTCAGATGCAGGAGCCTTTTTGGTTGCGAACCTCTCGCCTGTCAGGTCTAGGGGGTTAGGCCGGCGCGTGCCGCCATGCATGGCCTCCTGGAATAAAGAAGTGCAATGCTAAACCTGTCCCATTAATTAAGCTACCTGGACCCTCGAACTTCCCTTACAAAAGGACCTCTCTCCGTTTGATGATGATGTCCGTGCCCCCCAACCTCCCCCCCTTTCCCGCGCCAGCATTCGCCTGAGGCGAAGTTGCGCGCAAGTGAGGCGCCCAACTCCCAGCGCGAGCTTTCGCAGCTTTCGGCGTACTCCAGGCCTGTGTGCCACCAAGGATACCGATATGGGTGTCATTTCTTAGGGATGGGTGGGTTTTCCTTTTGATTTCCTTAAAACCCCCTTTTTTGGGTACCCAAGAAAGGACAGGCTCATATGGCTCACTCCCATGACTTCACGGGGATGCCCTTGGAACAGGAAGTGCGGACCCTTGCCTCGGTTCTCCGTGAGCTTGCTTTGAATAAGCCCAAAATGGGTACCCTCAAAACATGAAGCCTTCGGTGACAAAGCGATAAAAGGGCTGCCATTTTGGAACATGGTTCTCCTCACGGCCATTTTGGCACAGGGTAGATGCGCAGAGGATGGCTTTGCCCAAAATCAACAATCGGTGCCAGTTTTGAGCAAACGTCCAAGGCAAACGCCCAAGGGATGCGCGATTTTGAAAAACATAAACTAATTCACGCCCTTTGGTTTGGGCACAAACTGGACATGGCCCATTTGGCTCAACAAGACCAGGAAGGGAGGGAGGGGGAGGGAGAGGGAGGGAGAGGGAGGGAGAGGGGAGAGGGGAGGGAGAGGGAGGGAGAGGGAGGGAGAGGGAGTGAGGGAGGGAGAGGGAGGGAGAGGGAGGGAGGGAGGGAGAGGGAGGGAGAGGGAGAGGAGAGGGAGGAGAGGGAGGGAGAGGAGAGAGAGGGAGGGAGAGGGAGGGAGAGGGAGGAGAGGGAGGGAGAGAGGAGGGAGAGGGAGGGGAGGGAGGAGAGAGGAGAGGGAGGGAGGGAGGGAGGGAGGGAGGGAGGAGAGGGAGGGAGGGAGAGGGAGGGGAGAGAGGGAGGGAGAGGGGAGAGGGGAGGGAGGGAGAGGGAGGGAGAGGGAGGGAGAGGGAGGGAGGGAGAGGGAGGGAGAGGGAGGGAGAGGGAGGGAGAGGGAGAGAGAGAGGGAGAGGGAGGGAGAGGGAGAGAGAGGGAGAGGGAGGGAGAGCGAGAGAGAGGGAGAGGGAGGGAGAGGGAGTGAGCGGGAGGGAGAGGGAGGGAGAGGGAGGGAAGGAGGGAAGGAGGGAGGGAGGAAGGGAGGAAGGGAGGGAGGGAGAAAGAGAGAGGGAAAGAAAGGCAGAAAGACAGAAAGACAGAAAGACAGACAGACAGACAGAAGGAAAGAAGGAAAGAAGGAAAGAAGGAAAGAAGGAAAGAAGGAAAGAAGGAAAGAAGGAAAGAAGGAAAGATATCTTAGAGAAAGAGGGAAAGAGGGAGAGAGGGAAAAAGGGAAAGAGGGAAAGAAGGAAAGAAGGAAAGAAGGCAAGAAGGAAGGAAGGAAAGAAGGAAAGAAAGAAGGAAGGAAGGAAGGAAGGAAGGAAGGAAGGAAGGAAAGAAGGAAATAAGGAAAGAAGGAAAGAAGGAAAGAAGGAAGGAAGGAAGGAAGGAAGGAAGGAAGGAAGGAAAGAAAGAAAGAAAGAAAGAAAGAAAGAAAGAAAGAAAGAAAGAAAGAAAGAAAGAAAGAAAAGAAAGAAAGAAAGAAAGAAAGAAAGAAAGAAAGAAAGAAAGAAAGAAAGAAAGAAAGAAAGAAAGAAAGACAGAAAGAAAGACAGAATCAATAAATAAAAAATAGAAAATAAAGAACAAATAACAGAAAGAACGAGACATACTTGTCATGTGATTCATTTAAAAACACTGGGTTCACATAAGTGTTTTGCTAACAAACTCTTTGTTTAAGGGAAACGAAAGGAAACTCATTTTTTTCTTTGGGGAGAACCTCATTTAAGACAGCCCAAAAAGCATCCAAAAAGCCATGCGCTACCTAGGAGGAGCCTAGCAAAGGGTCAGGAAGAACCGCCGCAGCAAACAGACCTGGCCCTGCCTCGCTTGAAAACTGTACCCAACAAAGCCTCAGAGGAAGCGCGAGAGACTGGGTTGGGCTTTTCTACCAAACGGTTGGGGTTCTCACCTGATCAGTGGACACCAAACCATTCTTCAAGCCGTCTCTGCTAAGAATCCCTAGTCGCAAGAGACACGAGTGTCTGTCAGCCTCAGGCACAATCCGGAGAATAGGCAGTGGCATGAGCAAGGTGTTGTTTTGGTTGTTTTGGCATGAACGATTCATACTGATACTGTCCAGACATGGAGAGGTACAGCCAACCAGTTTTCAGCAACGTAATAACGCATTGCTTGACACAAGCAGGTCGAGCAATAAATTTGCAAGTGAACGAGCAAACAAACAAGCAACACAAAACACGTAAACAAACAAACAAACAAACAAACAAGCAAACAACCCGCCCACCAACCAACCAACCAACCAACCAAACAAACAAACAAACAAACAAAACAAGCAAGCAAGCAAACAAACAAGCAAACAAACAAACAAACAAACAACCAGGCAAGCAAGCAAACAAGCAAACACAACAAAACAAAGCAACACAAAACAAACACACGCCCAACCAACCAACCAAGCAACCAACAAACCAACCAACCGACCGACCGACCGAGCGAGCCAGCAAGCAAAGAAGCGAGCAAGCAAGTAAGAAACCAAACAAACAAGCAAACAACCGACCAACCAACCAAACAAACACCGCAAAGCAAGCAAGATGCAAACTGGCGTCCTGCTTCTCGTAACCCGGAGCGAATGGCTTAAGGGATTGGCGATTGCCAGGGTCCATCGACGCTGACCCAAGTAGTCGATGACCTTGCGGGCCAACCATGAGCATCTAGGCAGGCAATAACTACGTTCACATGGGCGTCTCAACATGGAGAAATCTCCGAAATGGGTGATTGTCCTTCTGATTTCTTTTTAAAACACCCCAAAAAGGGTACTGCAAAACAAAAAGACTGATTCAAACCCGACTTGCAAGGGGAGCCATTGCAACCTAGTAGCCTAGTACGTAGTGACTAATTGTGACTACGGTCATTACGGACCATTCAGGGCCACAGTCTTCCATGGCACCCCGTGTTCTTCGGGGACGTGCGCCCACCAAGACAATTCTCAAACTGGGGATACCAACCTGGAAAGCTGGCATGAAAGGGTGTATACGTTCCAGTTTCATGGAGGGTTGGTTATGGATTGGTTCAGGGCTGGTGTAGGGTTGGTTGAGAATTGGTTGGTTTAGAGAGTCTTGGCTTAGAGTTAGCTGCAAGGTGTGGACTCGGGCTAGACCCGGGCCGGGGAATGTAGGTGGATTCTGGGCCTGGACTTGCGTGCGGGATCATATATTTGAGATACATATTTCAGGGGCACCTGGCAAGTTCGAACGAGAGAGCATATGTGTGAGTGAGAGAGAGAGAGAGAGAGAGCGAGAGAGAAAGCGAAAAACAAAACAAAAAAGCTTGAAAAGAAGGAGAGGGAGGGAGAGGGAGGGAGAGGGAGGGAGAGGGAGGGAGAGGGAGGGAGAGGGAGGGAGAGGGAGGGAGAGGGAGAGGGAGGGAGAGGGAGAGGGAGAGGGAGGGGGGCCAATGTTGTTTTGTGAGAATCCGGCTGTCATTATTAAAAAAAAAAAAAACAGCCAGTGGTTCCGAGCCTGCCACTTTGGCTCGCGGTCGCCGGGAATCCGCGCCGAGGTCAGCCTTTCCGGGCGCTCCCGGTTCAGGAGCTGCGGGTCCCGGCTCGCCGCCAGGAAGGCGCCGCGGGGCAAGACCTGGGAAAGTTGGAGAAACGGAGATCACCCCATGTGGCTGTGGGTCAAACATAGGGCAACCCCAAATGGTTGCCCTGGTACATGGAACCAAGGACTAACACCTGCGGTTTTCCGGTGGTGTAAGTGTGAGAAATCGCCATGGGCTTTTCAAAAGCCAAATCGTACCCCCAGTGAGCATCCCAATTCCCACTAAAATAGGTTCCAAAATGGTGGTGAATTCACCTACCCCAAAATGGTACCGTTAGTTTTGACCCACAGCCAAATCAAATGGAGATCACCCCATGTATTTCATGAGCACTATCCCGTGTTTGACGATTGGTTAAAAGATTTCCTTATGGGGAGGGGGGAGGGGAATTTCGGTGGAAGTTTGAGCGCAAACAGAACTCGAACTAGCTGGCCACTTTTTAACATTCCTTACATACCCAATGTAGACAATTCACAAGAGCTGCGATTTCGGCAGCTCAAGCGGACACATTCAAATGGGCGTGAATGGAAAAAACACGCTTTCATGGACGAGGGGCCGCCATTAAGATTCAATCTGGAGAGAGGGGCACTAATGATCAGGGTCCAACACCCAACATAGGCTTATATACTCCCAATCAAACCAGGTAGTAGAGCCACCTGCTAAAATAGCCCATGGGAATTTTGGGCGCGCACATGGCGCTGAGGTCACTCAGCAGGATAATGTCAAGCAGGTGCATTTTGGCAAAGGGCAACTGGGATTGGGGCATACCACTGGTTGAGCTTTGGCGAAAGCATGTCCCTTTAGGACCCCCCGCAGAATTGAGTGTCGTCGTCAAAGGGGTCCAAAAACAGGGGTGTTTCAGCGGCAAATACATAACACGATTCCATTTGTGTGGGTAACTACATGGTGTTCAACGGGACGACAAACCCAACATGTGGAGTTGAATTCCCAACTGTACTCCTATTCTGTTTATGACCACACCACAAAAAGCACCAACCAACCACACCAACAAAAAGCGGAAAACCATTCCAAACCAAAACAACCGCCTGTTCTTCGTTTGCGGCAAAAAGCCGCCGCGCTTCGGCTGGGCCCTCGGCCCCGCCTCACGGACCCCGTACCCGGGCAAGCTGAGCCGGTCCATGCACCCGCTCGTTCCCCTAACGGCCGGAAAGGAGAGGTGGGAGTATGAATCTAGCAACAAGCACCCGAAATTGGAGATCTCAACCCACAATGGGGTGGTCTCCCCAATTAAGGGGAACATTTGTTGAGACTAATAATACACACGACACGTGCAACCACTTCAATGCAGCCATACGTTTCACCCGGGCGGTGGCCTCTTTGCCGCTGGAAGGGCAGGTCAGGCACACTCGGCATGCCGGGCCCGCCCTTAATCGCATGATACAAGCGACAGCCGGGTTACGCAACACCAGTTCTGAGACCTCAAATGTGACCTTCCATTCAGGTGTTGGCACTTCCTTGAAAAGCCCGGGTGACCTCTTGATACGCCCAGGTGACCTCTTGATACTTGATGGAGGCAAAAACTCCAAACCCATCTCGATGCTACTACTGTAACTGCTACGTGTTGGTCTTCGAGATTACCATGGTTGGTCTGGGACAAAGCAAAAGCTTGTCATTCGTGCAGAAGATTGGACATATGTTCTGCTCTGCACATGATGTTCCGCTCTTGGTCGACATATGTACACAACGCTGGACAAACAAAAACACAAAGACACAAGACTCATTGCCAGCAAGCAGTGTTTCAATACTGTACACTTGCGGACCCTCTTGGATTGAACTCCAGTGCTGCGTAGTGAATATCAAAGCGTCAGCGCCGACTGCATGACCCTCCATCCATCCTGAAGCCTCCTAAACCGTAAGATTGCGCCTGCGAAGCCCTCTGTGTCACGGATTGCACATCGTTTCATATAGATTGAACGACCTCCTTTGCGCCCCCCCTTTTGGTCCCCCTTCATTCCCCTTTTTATTGGGGCCACAATACGGCCGAAGCAATGCTCAACCTTGGCACCTGGCATCGCCATATTTTGCCAAAGCCGATTTTGAGTACGCTGGCGCGCAGCCACTGTACTCCGCATACGCTCCAAGCGAGATTGTGATGAGCATGACACAGTCCGGCCATAGCTCATCACAGAGAGTAACCGCAAGTCGAACCAAGGAGCTGATCGGAATATTCAACAAAGCAAGCAAAACACGGTATATCCCGGCCCTATCTTTGGGAACAAATCGGCTTGACTTGAGTTTTACACTTGAGTGGGCGACCACCTGTTGCTAGATTTGCCCAACAATCAAAAGGGCTCCGAAATGTGGTAGAAGCATGGCCGTTCGCCCAGTTGGGTGATTCCAACTCTTTGGTCAAACAGAGTTTCCTTTTTGGGGTGATATTGAATGGGGGTGTGACCCCTCCCGCGGAAGCACACGTGCCGCGCGAGAGTCAAAGAGTCTCTGCCAGTTGGCTCACCAGGCATCCAGTGGCAAGGCACCCGGTGGCAGATCCGGCGCGGCCTGAGCCCAAGTCTGCCAGCTTTGGTGTGAAAAGTCATTTGACCATGGCGGCCATAGTATATCATCGACCAATGAGGGCCAGAAAACCACACAGGGCCCGAACCAGGATCCCTGGTTCAGAATGGAGAAAGTACAGCCAGAAATGGTCAGGAATGGCCATTCACCTCTTACGGTACATCCCTATCATTTCCGGCTTCAAGGGAACCTTCCTTCTCTCCTCGGCGAAACTGAGCACTAGGCAGGTTTCACCTGTGGAGTTGGTTGTGGATCTGGCGGAGCCTTAGCGTCGTGTTGCGGTTGCGCTCCTTGGCTCCCTTTCCACCAGCTCTATTGTTCGTAGGGAGCCAAACAAAAACTGGGCTGATCAAAATGGAGTGTTCGCCTAATCCTTACGAATAAGGATTAAACACTACAAACTGGGACTCCCTTCGCAACCCCATTGCTCAGTTGCCCAAACGACCCAGACATCCAGAAATAAAAGGTTAACCTGTTGAGGCCGCTACTAAAGATAGACCAAAATTGGAAAACCAAAAGGTTAAGAGGTCGATTCGCTTTGGGCTGAGATTAAGGATTGCCCTACGAACGGAAGGCCTCAGAGCTTGGACCTGACTCTGAGCTTCAGGCAGGTTTGGCCCGCGAAGATTGATCTCTCGGCGGAGCAGCTTTGAACTTCCTTGGCATGTCGAAGAACGCCCCTTGGGGGGGCTCCTTTAGAAGGGAGCCGTTGAACCCCCCCGTTGATTTTTTGCAGTTATTCGGAGTTGCCAAAACCACACAGGGCGATCTGGGCTTGATGCTTTCACTGGGGAAGCCACACTTTCCAACCGAAGCTGACGATCAGAGGAATCGAGGGTTTCGGAAGACTACTTTCCGATTCCTGTCGAAACAGCCGTCTGCCCACTTCCATGATTAAAGGGGGGGTTGATGTTAATCCGCCAGGTCAAGGGCACAGTTGAGACTGCACCCCAAGATAGACTTAATTGAACCCAGCGGTTGACGTCCCATGGCGAGCTGGGATTAAGTTTTCAGACAGGTTGGCCAAGCTGAGCAGCGGAACGAGAGAAGTGATGTGGGTAACACGCAGCCCTGCGGCGAAGCCGCGAAAAGGAGAAAGCAACCCTTCAACCATGGAAAGAAGGCCCGAAACCCAAACCAGGCTTGGCTTGGGGGCTGGCTTTATTTTAGTATCAACCTTCTTTAATCATGGAAGTGAAGTGCGACGATTGCGCGTGCATTTTCGCCGCGGCCGCTCTGGCAGCGTTCTCAAAGCGGCGCGATGTTCCAGTGACCTTTGCAAGGAACATTGCCCGCCATGCTGAAAATGTCTTCAGCTCTCAATTCATTCACTTGTCACAAGAACCTTGGGGAATGTCGAAGAAACAAACCCTCGCCAGCATAAGCGTGGGCACAGGACCAGCCTCCACGCTGCAGCTGTGTGATCGTTTCGCTCCCTTATCTGCAGCCCCAAGCCTAGGCGTCCGGACAGCAGGACGCTGCGGAAGATTTGCGCCGAAGCGACAAGTCAGGCAGCATCCGAGGCATTTGGCGCAGGGGTTCGGCTTATTGAAATCTCGGCTGAGCGTACCCGATGACTCAAAGCGGAAGCACTCTTGTGGCCTAGCATTGGCGAAGTGGCGCCAGCGGATTCCGCAGCAAGCACGCAAGCTCCGCAAGCCAAGCCAGGCAAAACATGGATCCACGCATCGCCAGAACTAAGGGCGTTTTTGCGAGCAAGCTCTTGCCAAGCTCCATGGCAGCTACAGTAAGAGCCTGAGGCAAGGCTTTACATCTTCGGGGCAAGTCTTCTGCCAGCTTTACTTCCAACAGCTGCCGACCTTGCCGTGTGGGCTGGGCTAGGCCTAAGAACCATGCGCCATAGTTCAAGAAGGCGCGTCTGCAAAATGGCTCACAGTCGAAAGCTCTGCAAAGGCGCTCGCATAGCTACGGGTGCACTCGTGCGCTCAAGCACTCAAGCACTCAAGCACTCAGGCGCCAAGGAAAGTCACTGAAGCAACACTCGCCCGCTGAATCGATCCCAACATGCGCCGCATTGGCGCTGCGGCTCCAAGCGCAGTGTCGGCCTGGTTTCTTCTGACCGCCGTTTGAATCAACGACTCACTTGCGTTGCGACACTTGACGGTTGCAACATTGCCCTAAAACCACATCCTGAACCCAAAAGGGGCGGGCTTTTCGTTGTGCGTAAACCGCAGGGGATGGATCCCAAAAGGGCCGAAACAAATAACATTCTGCCTGGAGGCAGACATTTTTGCTCGAATGTGTTTGGCGAAAAAAAGTGACCAGAATCTGGGCAGTTGTTGAAATTGCGCTTGGTTGCGCGGATTTGCGCCCGAGTTGCGCGAAATTGCAAAGGGATTTCTCCTACACCCTTATTTCAGGATTGTTAGGTCGAATTCACGGTGAGGTCGGGTGACCTCGCTATAATTCACCTAGAATATTGCCTTGTTTGTTTGTTGGCGTTTCTCCTTTTAGGGTAGCTTGAAGGTTGAAGCGGAGAATGTTCTCACTGGGAGAAGACCTTTTAGTGGCAACCAGCAAGTTTGCACTTTTGGGCAAGCCACTCAGGAATGAGTTGAATACTCAAGACCCCCTAAGCACCCAGGTGAAAATCGCTCCGTGCGTGTGCTTCACCTCCCTCAGGGTGAAATACAACATGTGGTTAGAATTCTCTTAAGTTGCGCAGTCACTTGCTTTGCGTGCAGGCCCGCCTTGTGATGCCGTGCACGCCATTCCGGACACTGGAAACTCGCCTTCCTGGCTCTGAAGTGCCTCAAGCTGCGAGCTTGCAAAATGCAAAGCAAACAGCCGCGAGTCCAACCTGCAAGCTAAACTGGGACTCATCCTAGGAAGACGTCCATAATTTGCACGAATCAGCAATAGCCTCGATTTGGCTTTCAGTTTCCTTCAGCAGGAATTGCACTGGCTGCACAAAGGGAGGCTATGCTCAAGTCAAGCCCGCAAAACATGGAGAGTACATGTTGCCGGTTTGCGCCAAAGTAAGTTGATCGTCACACTCATATTCCTGAGAAGATCTAAGGCGATTGGTTGATTATTATGAGGTGGCGTAAGCGCACGCAAACTTACTGGGAACGGATGCCTGGCACTCGAGCTGCAAGTTGTGCAAGAGTCACTGTCCAACGTGGGCCCCAGCTCTCTAATTCTGCGTCTCAAGTGCACGTGCCCGTCGCAAAGAACAAAGACTTGGGGAAGAAACAAACCCAGGCCAGCAATCGCCCCTTCTGAGTGGGGCTCGCCTCCATGCTGAAGCAGCAGCTAGATTGCCGTCGTTGCATCTCACTTTCTTTGTTTGGGGGAAGCCTCTAAGCCTGGGCTGGGTCGGAAGCGCCCACACTGGACACAGAATACTTGCGCAAAGGTTGGCCGGGAAGCAGCCGAAAGTCAGGCGGCATTCATTGAGTCTGGATCATCTAAGACACCTCCCCAACGTGCTATGAATTTCTGGGTGACGTATTATATTTCCTAGGTCGTTAGGTCAAATTCGTTATTTCAAAGGTCGATCTGAATTAACTTAAGTCGTGGCACTGCTGTGCCTCAACATGGCAACTTCTGAACCCCCATCAATAAGGGCTCCAGGCGGCAACTCCTTAAATACCCAGTGTTTAAGAGGTTGGATCCCCCCCAGCGTGGAATGCTGGGTAACGCATCGGACAACAGCTCAATTTGTATGCCAAAACGCGGCTCCACGGAGCAATCACGGAGGGGGATGGGGATCCAACGCATTAAATACTGCGTGTTCAAGCAGCGGGTGTGGGTGGCGGGCATGACACAACCGGATTTTCTCCCAGACCGTATTTCAGGATTGCTAGGTTGAATTCCCAGTGAGGTCGGCTGACCTCACTAATTTTACCCAGATGCATT